GGCAGGAGGAGGAGCAGGCAGGAGGAGGAGGAGGCAGAAGTTGGTGAGGAGATCCCCAGGCAAGTTCACCAGATTCTCATGTAGGATCCTACCGTCGGAGTAATGTGTATGGTTTTTTGTCAGGGATGTGTGTGTGTGTGTGCGTGTGTGTGTTTGTGGGTGGGGGGGCGCATCGGGTTGGTTGCGCATGCTCCGATGTTGGCGGCAGAGAGTTTTTTATGCTGTGTTTTCGTCAAGAATGGTTGGGTGTGTGTGTGTGTGATGATGGGGTCGGCAGTGTTCTTGGTTGGCTGCCGGCCGCCTGGGGGAGGGGGGTCTATCAATAGGGAACAGTGATTAAGACATCCCCCGAGCAGGGGAACGAGGGTTGTGGGAGGAGACACGTTTAACCACCTACTCCCAGAGGGCTGATTTGAATCGAGCCGAATTCGAGCAGATGTGTCGCGCTTGCTCGCTTATCCCTCTCCTCGTCATTATCATCAGAATCATCATCATCATCATCATCATTCCGATTATCATCTTCATCATCATCAGCATCCTCATCCTCATCATCATCACCACCATCATCATCATCATTATCAGCATCTGATCAGCAGCATCATCAACATCATCCCTGTGTCGTCATCCCTGTGTCTTCCCAAGTCCGCGGCCGCGGCTTGGATTTCCAGGGTTGCTGGGGCGTCTGCTCAGGTGTTATCCTCACCTGTCTCCCCTTCCCTGTCCTTCCTCCGCCTCCTGAGGAGGAGGTTTGGGCCCTCAGGCCTTGGAAGACCAAAGGCAAATCCTGCATCGCGTCCCCAGTGTCGTTCCCTGCTAACGCTATGGACCCCGTGTTTTTTGTTGGACCACTTGCGGGTCCATTGGCCATCCTAGGAGCTCGACCCAAAAGGCTGTTTGCCGATCTCATATGACCGCTTTAATGTTGCTTCAGTGTTGCAAGTAAAGGCGGAACGACGACAGGATTAGGGACATCGGACCCATGATAGAACACGGAAAGCACCTGGCCCAGAGACCCGGGGTGCCAGTTTTGTTCAAAACGGGGGTTGTGCAGAGTGCCAGCTTGAAACGTCTCCCCATCTCCAGGTTTGGCACCGCCTTGCCTCGATACCGATCTTGAGGATTCCCTCAGCCTCTGAGGGCCTCTCCCTAGGATCGCCATCGCTTGATGGGGATCAGTTGCAGGCCGGTTGGCAGGGAAGGCCCGACCCCTCCCCCGTGGTTGGCGGCGCGCACAAGGGGGTGGGGGGAGGGGGGAGGGCTTCTCAGAAGCAGGCTGCTTCTTCGAAGGCGCCGGCCTCACATCTATAGACGAGGCCCGCGCCTTCTGAGAAGCGGGGGTGCTTCTAAGAAGCCCTCCCCCCTCCCCCCCACCCCCCTCTGCGCGTCAAACGACGCGAAGATCGGGACAAAGTCGGATCGGGATGCCTCGAAATCTCTGAGAATCGGCGGGTTCGGAGGATGTATTGGGCGCCGCGGCCGCTCCAGAGCGTTCCGGAACGTTCTGAGAGCGCTCCGGAACGCTCTGGAGCGATTTATCCCGATCCTGGCCTTGTTTTATTTCTGCCTCGGCGAGGGCCATCGATCTAGGTCTCCCAGATGGGGCCCGAGCAGACGGGGTCGAAGGAGCGCGCCGCATCGCCGATGCATGGCCGATGCGGCTCGATGTGGAGCCCGATTTGCTTCACGTCGACGTCGCCGATTCATCGCTGACGTCGACGATGAATCGCTGGTGCATCGCCGATGCATCGCCGATGCATCGCCGATGGGTCGTCGATGTATCGTCGATGCGGCGCCATCCTCCGACCCCGTCTACTCGGACCCCGTCTAGGAGGCCGCTAATCGAGGGCCATCCTGGACCATCGAGCAAAAACAAAAAAAAAAACACGCACGACACCGAAATATGCACGGGAAATGGACGTCCGAGCGATGGCGAGTCGCGGTGGCCTGGCCACGCTGGTCCGGGACTCGGCTCGCTCTCTCCGGGGACAGCTCTCGGCGACTGGGGCCTACGGGGTCCCCGCGCCGTGCGGCGAGGGGCCGCGCGGGGCGAGGTCCCGTCGGGATGTGGAGGTCGCCGTGCGGCGTGGCCTCGCACCGTGTCGGGCCCCGCGAGCACTTTTGGGGGGGCAGGGGCAGGGCCGTGAGACCACGTTTGCAACCGCCCACCCCGCGAAGTGTACCGTCAAAAACCCTAATAAGGACGCGCGACTTTGCTCTGGGTACCCTGGCGTCCTTGCTCTTCCTTGCTCTTGCGTCCTTGGGGTTTTCGTCGTCCGCCGCCCCAAAAATCCCAACTTCCGCTTCCAAGGGTCTTGCGTCCTTACCGCGCGTCCTTATTAGGGTTTTTGACTGCAGCGGCGATTCTCTGGGATGGGTCCGCGAGCGTGATGTGCGTGTCTTCTGCGCCGTGCTCGGGGCGGAGGCCTGCACGCCGCGGCGTGGACATCGTTGGGCTCCAGGCATCGGCCGCGCGCAGAGGGTGGTTTCGGTGGAGGGGGAGGCTTCTTAGGCGGAGGCTGCTTCTTAGAAGGCGCGGGCCTTGCATGCAGATGCGGGGCTCGCGCCTTGTACAGTGGAGGCCCGTGTCGAGAGGCACCCTGCTTTCCTCCAGGGTGCCCTGAGTTTCGTGGGTTTCGTGGGTTTCGATGGTTGTGCGATGGAAAGCGTGACGCTCCCGCGCCAACAAGCAATGGACGCCTTGGGGTCTCGGGGTTGGACTTCTTGTGGTCGACCCCTTACTGTCAGAAGCAGCCTCCTTCCGAGCAGCCTTCCCTCACCCCCCGACCCGCCGCTGCGCGTGGCCGAGACGAGTCCTGGCTTCTGCCCCTCGGTTGGAGGCCTGGGGAGAGGGAGGGGCCGACCAGCGTTGCAACTGCTTGGCGGCTGCCCGCAGCCTTTGACCCAGGCCCGAGGAAAGCAAGAGCCTCCGATGGCCGCGCCCGGCCGCCTTCGCGGGCGAGCGCGCGCAAGGCGGCGGCGCTGCAGCGCAGAGAGGAGGCAAGAAGAAAGGGGAATAAAACAGGGCTAGGATCGGGATAAATCGCTCCAGAGCGTTCCGGAGCGCTCTCAGAGCGTTCCGGAACGCTCTGGAGCGGCCGCGGCGCCCAATACGTCCTCCAAACCCGCCGATTCTCAGAGATTTCGAGTTATCCCGATCCGAGTTTGTCCCGATCTTCGCGTCGTTTTACGGCGCTGCAGCGCAGAGAGGAGGCAAGAAGAGGGGGGAAGGAGGAGGAGGAGGGCGGCGAGGACGGCGGGGCCGACCAGTGGCGGCCGCGAGCGCGCCACGGGGCCCGGTCGCGCGCGCGCGCGGCGGGCACGCCGCAGGCGCCCGCTGAGGTGCGGGAGGTCGCCTTCGCGGCCTCCCGTCGACGATCGACTCGGGACGGTCGAAGTGGTAAAACGACGCGAAGATCGGGACAGAATCGGATCGGGATGACTCGAAATCTCTGAGAATCGGCGGGTTTGGAGGATGTATTGGGCGCCGCGGCCGCTCCAGAGCGTTCCGGAACGCTCTGAGAGCGCTCCGGAACGCTCTGGAGCGATTTAGCCCGATCCTAGCCCTGTTTTAGGTACGGAAAGAAGGGGTGCAAAGGCAGACAGCAGTTCTTTTTTCATGTCGAACATCGGGGGCGGCCAAGAGGGGGGGGGTGATGGCTAGGTGGGCTGGATCTCATGGTGGGGGCCATGATGTCTCTCCAAGTTCCATGGCGCCTGAACTTATTTCCGCACGTCCCCGCCCCCCCCCCCCTCCCCGGGACGCGCACGTGCCGCCGGCCATGAGGTGCGCCCCCCCTATTGGACGCCCCTCTCTTGGCTGCCCCCGAGAACAGGTCTCGCTGACGGTGACGACGCTGACGTTGCCCATCTGAGACAGAAGGCCGCCTGCCCAGCAGCGGCCGCCGTCGGTTTCGGACAACCGTTGCTGTTGGGCATCGTAACCATTTCTTCCTTAACCACTTCGGGCGTCCAAATCGACGTTCGGCCCTCAACCCTGCCGCGGCTCGTTCCGACCCCTCCGACTCGATTCGATGTCGATCGATTGCGATTCCGATTCGGATCTCGGTCTCTCCACGGAGGCTTCAGGCAGCCTGCGAACGTCCGCCGAGGCGACTCCTCCCGACGTGGCTGCCGATGTCCGCCGCTGCGATGCATGTCGATCGCCGATCCGACTCCTCGATTCGAGTCTGGGCTCTCCTGCCCCGCCGCTGCCGCACCCCACTCTGGGCGCCAGGGGGGAGCGGGGCCCGGGTGAAGAGCGCGCAGGCCGGGAGATCCTCCCTGCGCCCGCCGTGGGTCCTCGTGGGATCGGGGGCGTGGACAGGCCTCCTCCTCCTCCTCCTCCTCCTCCTCCTCCACCACCTCCTTCTCCTGGACAAAACGTCGGTCGCCGATCCTGTGATCTCGGGTGGGCTCCGAGAGTCGACGAATTTCACACGCGACCGGCGCGCAAGGGGCGGTGCCGGAGGCGCCGCCAGGGGGGCCCCAGCGCAGATCCAAGAAATCCGCGCGGAGCGCCAAAAGTTTATGTTCATGCCGTTCCGTATTTTTCTTCTTCCAGAGAGGCCCCCAGGAATTCTCATAGGCGAGCGTTCACTTGCACCTGAGATCTTGGCGTCATGTGTTTTTGCGCCAGACGATTTCGCCCGGTCTAGTGATCCATCCGGCTTCAAACATGCAGCAGAAAGATGGGGTGCGTGGTTCTTGTTGGGTTTTCTCTTTTCGTGAAGCCATATTTCCTATCGGGCCTCGCCACGACCACCCCATCCCCGCTCTGTACAAGTGAACTTGCAAGATCCGAAGAAAACAGCCTCCAGGCTCTCCAGAAGCTCTGGAGCCTCTCGGAGAAGGCTTCTCTGGACGCACCGCACGGATCTCGGGCCCGACGATTGCTGCTTTGGAGTCCGCCCGTTCCCCCGTCCCCGTTCCGCTCCCGTCCGAGAGTGCAACGCGGACCTGCTCCGACGCCACTGGCAGGTGAATGAAGCGACCGCTCCCAGCGCCGCGGACGAGTCGTGGAACCAGGACGAGGGCGAGTGGAACCAGGACGAGGGCGAGTGGGACGAGTCGAAGCACTGAGAGCGGCAGCCCTCCGCCCCGGCATCCGCAGATGTTGGCACTTTTGCCTCGGCCGCCACCGCAGATACAGATCAAAGCGCCACGGCCTGCTGCTGCGTGGGGGAGGGAGACGGCGCACCTTCCCGCTCTCACCCCGCCCCACTCTGCTTTCTGGTCGCCTCTCGCGGCAGGCACGCCCCAAGGGGCCCCACCTGAGCTCACTGGGCGTCTGAGCCGGTGGAGCCAGCCAGCTTCACGCCGGCATCTCGGAGGTCGGTGCGATCGCAATGGGTACAGAAAAGGTTAGGTGACGAAGACGGACATCTCAAGCAGTGGCGAAGCGTCCCGGCGTGCCTATAGCCCTACCAAACAATGTTCTTAGAACCCGTTGTGGTTTCCACGGATTGTTCTTAGAACATGTCTCGCTGGGACTGTCTTGTTTTAACGCATGAGGCTTACGTTCTAAGAACATTGTTTTTGTTCTTAGAACATTTTTGGGGTTCTAAGAACAGTTCGTGGTAGGACTAGGAATGCCCGGACGGTCGGTCCCTGCTTAAACATCGATTCTTGCCCATTTCTGAACAGGGACCAGCATCGGCCGCTGCCTGTGTTGGACAACACTTGCTCCTGGGCATCGTAATCAACCCTCTGAGGAGCAAGAGTTCGTGAGAAGGCTGCGTTCCGAGCTCCCCAGAACTCCAAAGACTTCCGCATGTCCCACTCGGGTACGGCAGCGAGGGCCGCCAGATGCTCCTGGAAACTCTCACACGTACTCTAGATTTCGTAATAAAGGGAGGGGGGTCTCATTTCGGGGGGGGGTCTCTTCCAGGCTATCTTGGAGGGCCTGGGGGGTCTGGGGACGATGTTTTGGAGGGTTCTCCCACGGGGGAGGTCTGAAATGGCTTGTCTTGGAGGGTCCAGACCCCCTCCCTTTTATTACGAAATCTGGAGTAGCCCGAGCCAATCCTATCGTGACATGGTTCTCGTACCCAGCTCTTCCGCGCCCATCTCCCGAGTGCTGCGGAGCCAAGATCGCTCGGCCGCCCACTCGGAGGCCGAACGCGCGCTCGTGGAGCCGGCGGGATCCCCAGGCGACGCCTCGGCCTCCCGAGCTGCTGCGGCCTAGGCGTTCGGCGATGTCCAGCTCGTGGGGCGTCGTTGCGTGGTGCGCTGGGCAGGGCCGCACCGGCTCGTCGCGGCGTCGCGGGAGTGCGGGCGCTCAGACGTTGGGGGTTGTGTTTTGGAAGGGTTCGGATGCGCTTCCGGGGGCCCATCCGCCGATCCATCGGCGACGCATCGACGATTCCAGCTCGATGTGTAGTCTCCCTCTGAGCTGGCCCCCTCCCCCCGGTCGTTGCCGCTCAGGTGGGCGAGGACGAGGGACTCCTACCCTTGGGGGACTTGACGACTCCTCTTCAATCGATCGGGTCGCTGGGACCAAGTCAGATAAACTGGGGTAGAGCATATCGGCCACACGCAACAGGGGGTAGGGGGAGGGGGGAAGGCTTCTCAGAAGCTCCCCTGCTCCTTAGAAGGCGCGGGCCTTGTCTGTAGATGTAAGGCGGGCCCCTCCGAAGAAGCAGGCTCCTTCCGAGAAGTCTTCCCCCCTCCCACTACCCCCTTGTGCGCGCCGCCAGGAGTACACAAATCTACAGTGGGGACCCATGCCAAGAAACACCCTACTTGCCTCCAGGGTGCCCTTGGTTTCTTGGGTTTCCGTGGTTTTGCCATGGAGAGCGTGACGTCCCCACACCAAAAATCAAAGGACGTCACGGCCCTGGGGTCTCAGGGTTGGGTCCCTTGCGGAAGTTTCTCGTGGTCGGGCCCCTACCGGTACGCAAGACCGTGTAAGCACAGACGGGTGGAAGCACCAGCTCGTGGCGATGACTGCCCTCTGGCACTGGCCCGCCTCTGGGCGCTCCCCTCGGCCACGCGCCCCGCAGGCTCGCCCGGTGCGGAGGCGGTCCTCGCGGGGGGCGCAAGTCCGGCGGCGGAGGGGAGAGTGGTATTGCGAAGGCCTTACGGCCAGCGCCGCCGACCCTGAATGGGAACGACGGCAACAGCGGCGGCGGCGATGACGACGCTGACGTGGGTCAGTGTCCTCATGGATGCTTCTTGGGGTCTCTTCGAAGCGCTCTTGGCAGCCTCTGGGGGAGGGATAGTTGAGGGGCCTCTGGGGAGCCTTTTGGGGGCCTTGAGGAGGCAGTTCTCGCGCCGGCGCGCGAGTCCGGCCGCGGGGGGGAGAATGGTATTTTTCATGTGCGCAGCCGGCTGCACGCACGCATCGAAGTAGACAAAACGCCATAAACATGCACTTCTTGCGCTCCGCGCGGATTTCTGGGATCCGCGCTGGGCCTCCCTGGCGGCGCCTCCGGCGCCGCCTTTGGCGTGCTCCGCGCGCCAGGGAGGGGGGTCCAGCGCAGATCCAAGAAATCCGCGCGGAGCATCAAAAGTCCACCCAGTACGACGGTTGATGGCCCCATAGGGAGCTCCACCGAACGCCTCAATGTCCGCGGCACCATGCGCTCCCCCCCAAGAGCCAGGTGTCGTGGCCAGATGCATAAGGATCTCCACCGAACGCTCAAATGGCCGTGGCCGCATGCGGCTTCCGCGCCTAGTGCAGCGATTCGTGGCCCCATTGGGAGCTCCATGGAGGGCCCCAGTGGCCGCGGCCGCATGCGCCCTCCCCCCCGAGTGCAGCTCTTCGTGGCCCCATCGGGACCGCCACCGAGAGCCCCCGTGGCCGTGGCCGCGTGCGTCTATCTCCCCTTCCATTACAGGACGCCCCTCACTCGCAGGGAAGTGCACCCAACGCGGTACCCACAACGCGGTACTCACAGCTTCATATCGTTGATCGATCGCCAGGATCATTTCATGACCCGCAGGGGGTTTGGGCCTCTCGCTCTTCCTCTCTCTCTCTCTGACTCTATAGCACCCCGCAGTTGAGGATAAGAATGAGGGGGCGGGCGCGGGGTGGGTCGCGGGTGATCGCGGGTGGGTCGTGGGTGGGTCGCGGGTGTGTCGCAGGTGGGTCGCGGGCGGGTCGCGGGGGTGGGCCGCGGCCGATGCGTGAGTGGGACGACGATAACGACGACAAACGATAACAAACAACAGCGCAAGAGCAATCTCCACCGCGGAACCCCACTTCAGCCACGCACCCAACCAAGGGACAGAGAATGACCGTTCGGCCCCTTATTCTAATACATTGTGTATGTATGTATGCATGCATGTATGTTTTCATGCATGCAGACATGTATGTATGCATGCATGTATGTATGTATGTTTATATGCATGCATACATGTATGTACGTACGTACACATGTACGCACGTACGTACGTACGTATGCATGTATGTATGCAGGCATGTACGCCCGCCCGCCCGCACGTATGTATGCATGTATATGAATATGAATGTATGTATGTACACATGCATGTCTGTATGTGTGGATTGTTGTCTGTATGACTGTATGTCTGTATGTCTGTATGTCTGTATGTCTGTTAGTATGTATGACGGTATATACAAATGTATGTATACATACAGTTACGTTCGCCGCTCGAGAGGATTCCTGGCCCCAGCTTCCCCACTGCCCGGCGGCACACAACGACGGGGCCCGCTGCGCGGGCACCCGGGCGGTTGCGCTGCCTGGCGCAAGGCCGCGCGCGAGGGCGCCCCCCAATGCAGGTTCGACGCGGCGTGTGTCAGGAGGAAAAGAAGCACACAGACACAATGAATCCTCGATTCCCCAGACAATATGGGAAACTATGGCAAGTGGGGGGGAAGACAAACACCCGGAAAATATGGGAAACAATGGGGAGTCTTTTTAGTTGTGTGTATTTGTTTGTGTGTCCTGGGGCCCCTTCAGTGTGGCTCGCTCGCGGCCTGCGTGCATCCAAGGCGCTGAGAGAAGGACCATGCTGCTGGGTTCAGAAAATCTGGGCCGCCCATATTTTAGCGCGCGCAGGACGGTGTGACAGCACATTTTGCTCCGTCAAAGGGGGCGCCTGTCCCAGGGCGGCTGGAAAGTTTATGTTTTGACGTGCCACCGTGAGGGTATAAATTTCCCAGCGCCCCTGGGGCAGGCGCCCCCGACAGCGAAGAGTTTATTTAATACAGTTCTTCGTCCGTTAACATCTGGTGTCGGAGCAGATGGGGCCAGAGGATTGGACCGCGTCGCCGATGCATCGGCGGTGCGGCTCGATGTGGAGCGATAATTCCTCCACGCCGATGGCGTCCAAGCGTCGTTGAAAGTGGACACCACTCTGGGTCCAGTTTTAGAAGAGCAAGACACCACATAAACATAGTCTGTACGAGCTCCGCGTGGATTCCTTGTATCGGCGCCTGCCCCTCCCCCCAAGGAGCGGCGCCGGAGTCGCCGCCAGAGGGGCCCAACGCCGATCAACGAAATCCGCGCGGGCATCCGAGAACATATGTTTATGCCGTGTGTTTCGTTTTTCAAGGAGGGGCTCCGGTTCTCGGGGTATTATACGCGGTTAGCAAGGCAACGATGCCGTGCGATGTGGTGGCGCCAACCCGCTCATCATACGTCATCTTCGTCCTGGGGATCGCGTGCGTCGAAGAGGCCCTGGTAGGGGACCAGCGTCCACCGCGCGGGCTCTCGCAGCTTGATCGCCTCGCAGGGATCGCGTGCTTTCCAGAGATCGCTGTTGCGGGCTCCCTTTCCACCGCCGAGCGCAGCTCCAGGTCGGGGGACCTCTGCGTGGCCGAGGCCCGCCGTGGCCAGAGAGGCTCCCTCCTTCCTCAGTCTTGCGTTCCTTCTGGCAGCCAGATGCCTGCAGCCCGAGCAGCAGATCCCAGAAGCTGTGGGAAAAACCACACTGTGGGGAAAAAACACACACTGTGGGAAAACACACACACGCACGCACGCACGCACGCACGCACGCACGCACGCACGCACGCACGCACGCACGCACGCACGCACGCACACACACACACATACACACACACAAACACACACACAAACAAACACACACAAACACACACAAACACACACACACACACA